CATTATTTCACTGCATAAATCAAGGATTTTTTTAATATGTACTGTAGATTAATAATTCTGCTTATTTTGCGTCAATATTCTGGCTATATTCTACAAGTTTCTTTTGATGAAAATTTAGAATTTTTATGCATTAAATTGGGATAAAACTTTTATAAAGATCAAATCCATGTAGTAGGTGACAATTCAAACTAGAACATCTTGTCAGTACTGTGGAGATAAGTTATTATTTAGCTTTTTCTTTGTGCTACTTAATGAATTTTTAAAAACTTATTTTTCAGAAAATCACGATCATTGTATGCATCTAAAGCATACCATGCTCAACATTTCCATTCAATGACAATATAATGTGTTTCTTCATATATTTTAGACATCCAAAATTAGAATAAAACCTATTTTATTCATAACCTATCCCTYACCGTAGTTATAAAATGCAGCATTTAGACTAAAAAATTTACAAAGAAACATTTGCTTGCAAGACCCATATGTGCCAGAGAGATAGTTTTTATTCTAACTTTAGTATCCCACTCCCACAATCTATTCACTATCTTGTGTGTTTGTAGGTGGGTGAAAACCATTTGGACATCAGTGCAGYGGTTGTGGCCTAATGAAGAATGGGCAAATCCAGCCATGAAGCTGCTCAGCAGAAGAAGTAGCAGCTGCAGGAAATCTTAAAGGAGTTGGAAGCGTCTTCACTTCATGAAGATGGCAGCACCATCCCAAACCGTATGACCCTGCTTTATCTCTTTATCGAAATGTGTTTCTGTTTTTAAGGGAATGTCACCTATTCAGATCTAAAGCTTTAAAAAAAGTTGAAATTTTCTGAAGCGTTAAACACTGTTCAACAAAACATTTAGGTTTGATTTGCCAAACTCCTATACTCTCAGAGCTGATTTCTTTTGCTGATCCTGGATGGTGTGTTTAGAAAACCCCAGGCAAGAACCAGTCACTAAATCAGATTTCCTATTGAAAAATACAGTGGGGTGCAAATGTTTGGGCAGCCTTGTTAATTTTCCTGATTTACCTTTTATAAATCATTGATTGTTTAGATTTAAAAAATCAGTAAAATATATTATGAAGGGGACAAACAGTGATATTTGAGAAGTGAAATGAAGTTTATATGATTTACAGAAAGTTTGCTATAATTGGTTAAACAAAATTAGGCAGGTGCATAAATTTGGGCACTGTTGTCATTTTATTGATTTCGAACTACGGTAATTGTTGGAACTCAGAAAACAATGGAAAGACCACAGGCACAGTTCAAGTCAAGGCTRGAAGTGGCAGACCAAGAAAAATCTTGAATAAAKAGCAGCGAAGGATGTTGATAACAGTCAGAGTCAACCCACAGACCAGCACCAAAGACCTACAACATCATCTTGCTGCTAGCGTGAAGGCTAACAGGCTAAGCTGAGGTTTTTATTCCATGAAGCAGCTCTGTTGTCCTCCATCCATATTTTAAGTCACAGGCTGAGTCATTTCTACCTTCTCCTCTTTGTCAACGCTCTCTGGTTTCATTTAAAAGAGCCAATCATCAGATATTGTCTGAGATTAACCTTCAGGGTGGATATACAGTTGTGGTCAAAAGTTTACATACACTTGTAAAG